AACCTTTTCAATCGGAGAACAAACATGTCTTCGCATTATGTCTTTGTACATCAATCTAGGACTCTTTAATTGTTGGACAACAAGATGATTTTGTTGTTTTATATAAATCCCACATATAAATATCAGCAATGTATTATAATATGCATTTATGGGTGATGAAAAAATTATTATATGTTCTATAATAATGGTCAAAATACGAAAAATTCCAAGAAGAGAAAGAAACAAGGGAATTTTAGAATGGATATTTATTAGATTACATGATTTTTTTTACTCATGACTAATAAAGCATATAAATATGGCATGCTTATCAAAAGATAGGACGATCTTTTTTTAATATAATCAAACTGATTAAACAAATTAACTTATTAATTAATTACATAAATTAGAAATCAACTTGATTAATAGAGTTCTAACCTTTAGGTTACATGAAGAAAGTTATCATGAAACAATCCATAGATATGTTGATGCAATTTGACTTTTTCAATATTTCTTTTTTAAATTTGCAAATACAAGCTAAAAATTAAAAGCAAAATTGATATCATTTTTGGTTTATTAACATTTGAATAATACAAACAAATAATCACATAAGAGTTATGCCGTCAAATTGTACAATTTACTTATAAACACTTGCAAAATATATGGATCCAGACTCTAATTCAAGTTTAGGTTCTGAATAAATCTCTATTCAATTTTAGATCAAAGATTTAACACTTGTTAAATTTAGGTTCACTTGTTCAACTGCATAAATAGAGTTTACTATATTCTAAGATACATTATGATATAGATTTATCTACAAACTTCAAAGATATAAATTCATTGTTCATTTGATAATCCCTTTCTAAATTTGAATCAAAATTAGATGAAGAATTGTGGATGTTATATATAACATCTTTAGTAGGTTCATAGTTCATCTTATTCAAAATTGGTGCTTATTTAGCATACCATTAATATGTTGAAAGAACCTTTCCTTAGAAACGTCTTGCAGAGATCTATGAGGACAAAAAAATCTTTCAAACTCTAAACCATCACATCCAATCCCAAAGAATATGAGGAAAAAATGAGCCTTTACTTTCAGAAAAAGAACTACTTTCATATAATAAGGTTGTAATTTTACATGCCTTAGAACCTATATATAACTATTATAAAATAAATAAGGGTAAATTGACACAGTCAAGGAAGAAGCCATATGATGAGTAACCAGTCTAACAATTCACAAAGAATATCCAAATCTCACTTAGAAATAATAATAAGTTGAATAAAGAACAATTAAAATTAATTCTAAATCAAGATTCACTTAAACCTAATGAAATTTAACTATTATAAAATACATGGGGGTAAAGTGACACAGTCAAGGAAGAAGCCATATGATGAGTAACCAGTTTAACAATTCACAAAGAATATCCAAATCTCACTTAGAAATAATAATAGGTTGAACCAAGGACAATTAAACTTAATTCTAAATCAAGATTCACTTAAACCTACTGAAATATACAACTACAAGCTAAAACTATATTTAAAGCTACCTTAAGACTTCACATGTAACAGCTACAATTAATCTAATATAAATTTAAATTTAATCCTGAATTTAAGCTACCCAAAGCATAACTAAAAGTCAACTTAAACTAATAACAACTAGACACAACAGCCTAAATAGTTGCTTAACTGAAGAAATAAAAGCAACAAGAATAGCCTATGAGCATAAGTCACATGATCAACCACAAGAAGCATCCATCAAAGAAATAAAAGACAAATATAAAGAAAGTCACAACGAATAGTAACATATAAAAGTCATAAACCAGATAAGTTCAGATGTTGGATTGCCCAAAAATAGCCGCTAGAATATAAATAAACCACATCAACTCTATTCAAATAGATATTTTCTTTTATGACATAATTAGTAAATAAATTTTAGTCATCGCCATGTGAAATATTGAACCCCTGGCAAGGCTATAACATGCATGGAGATCTTGTATAAATAAAGGACATGAACAGTCATGTGTAATGTAGGCATACTAACTTAAATATTGCATAGCACTAATGTAAATTCAATATCATTAACAGTATTAATATTGAAAGTCGCAAGACTTTTGAATGGTAAGAAACTATCCAATTTTTGAACATACATTATCACCCCCACAATTAAGTGGGTAGTAAACATGTTAAAAAACAAGATTCAGAGAAAATATTTTAGGAGCTCTTTGGTCCCAAGTATTGGGAAGATAAAATAAAATAGAATATAGGAATTTAAATTGTTAAGTGTTCAGGATGAGAAAAAATATATGTAAAACTAAATTTTAAGTGCATTAAAAATAACTCAAAAGGAATATTTGTGGTAGAAATGAAACTAATTCAACTCGAGTGAAGTCCAAACTCATTGTGTCTGCTATTTATCGTGTGCTTTAATCATGACTTGTACTCCCTCCCATTGGCTGCCTATCATCTTGCAAGTCATCTCATCGTGTTGTGCTTCACCACCTTGAACAAACATCCTCATGTGATTTAACTTGTCAGCTTGCTTCCTTGATAAATCGTTGATCTCAATAAATAATCATGTCAACACCTTGATCTCACAATGTCAGTGCCTTGTAAAGTATCCATAAAAACAAACTTATCATATTCCCTCTTTGTTGCCTCCTTGCCTCATCATTGTATTTCAATGATACAACATACCATAGTTTTACACCCAATAAAACAAGATTAATAAATCCTCTGAAATTCCTTCACAGACAATCAAACAGCTCTGAATTTTACACCCAACAAAACAACAGTTATTAATTCAACATTCCCAAAACGCGTGCATTTCTAACTATTAGGAATTAAGCAGCACTATAATGGATCATTAATATGCATTATAAGTACTAGGACTTCAATATGAATTTGAGTTTGACAATTGTTTCCTTAGCAACTAACACAATAATCTAATATATCACCACCTCACAGGATTCACCATCAAGAACAATTTCATTACCACCATACTCACTTTAAACCATGTAATAAAGAAGAAAGGGTAGTTTTTTGATATGATGAAGCCTTTTACTACCATGGGGGATGGGGAGGATATACAATGATTATTGCATTAGGTTTGGACTAGTAGAAATGATAGGATATAGGAATTCCAAGGTTGGCCAAAAATAAACTTGTTGTGGTGGGTTATTATTTTATGTAGAGTTGACGATAATGGCTACAGCACATATGAGAATGGGTGTAACCAAAAGGTTGGACATGGAGATTAGGGTTTGAGGATAAGCAAAATGAAGTGAGAAGGCTTATAGTGGTAAACAGCACAACTAGGGTTTCACATGGAGGAGAAAAAAATAAGAAGAAAAATTAGAGATTTAAAACAAAGTTGAAACCATGGCTTGGATGATGGCTTTATAATTTAATTTTTTAAATTTTCTTGGAGCGCAGAGGGTGGAGAATAATAAAATAGTTAAAATAAAGTGGGGACGAATGTGAAAGATGGATTGTAGCTATCTCGAGCCTTAATGTACGTACCATGACCATGGATGCATCAGTTGTCCACCACCAATGGTGGTAGAGGTTAGCATCCAATGGTGAATGGTAGAAGATGAAGATATTATTGAGGAAATCATCTTTACAATGGACTTTTCCAAGGTCGCCTAAATGCACTTGAGTTTTAAAAGGTTCGATGAGTGAGATTTTCTTGTGAATACTATACATAGCTTCTTGTACAATGGATCAGATCCCTCATCCACTTCTAAATGTAAGCTTGGTTGAAGCAAAACTACATGCATCCTTATCCATTAAAGAAGTAGATTATGCAATTGTTGGATCTAATTTTGTCCAATGGGATTAGCTAAACTTTACTTGAGACGACAGGGAAATTGAGCTATCGAGAACAAAAAGAAGATAAGTAAAGCTTTTGCATTGTGAATTATGAACAAAAGACCCAATCATAAACCTCCTAAAGAAGATGAACTGTACAATGAGAGGACATAATTCAAAGAGAGAGAATTCCTTGGATTACATGCTGCAAGCCTAACAGTTGACCCTCCTTTGTTTATTGACAAGAGAAAAGATCAATACTAAAGTATGGGTGATACAATACTCTGACCACTGCAAGGGTGATCAGACATTTATTGTGGCTTTCATGAAATCAGATTTCTCTTTGACAAGTAATTGTGTATAGCTTCTATACACTGGCTGGCCTGCTGAGCAGTATAGGTTTAGTGCTATTGAATATAAATTTTGGTTAGATATTCTTCTGGTTTGAATGAGAGTCATCTGGGTTCCTAGCCACCGATCAAGTGATTTTTTTAGTGAATTTAATGGGTCATCAATGGATGCCTTGCCCTTGCCAATTTGTAACTTCAAATCATCTAAACAAGGTGGGTCAATTACCTTATAACCAAATGACATTTTCTATTTTGGCCGTACTTCATTCAAGTTAACTTGGCACGTTAGAACCATGCAAAAATTAAACTAGAACATCATTTTTTGGAATATTAAGTAGTTCACTGTCAAGCAAGCAACTAGGAATATCAAAACCCCAACATTTTAATAGAGATATATATATATATATATATAGATATAT